CATATAGAACCATGAAAAGGTTTCCCTCGCGGTGCGCAAAAGCAGTTTCTGTGTCTGAAATCTCTTCCATTCTCCCGCCATAAGGGTTCATTTGGACGAAGATGTCTTCGATGTTCATCAATGCCTCCCATAACGTCTCCAACCCTTGTCTAGGAATCACTGCTTTGTAATAATCCGACTTGCTCTTGGAAAATGACCGGTTCACCTGCACTCTGTCCAGCAACACATCGATGTTGGTTCCATCGGGGAATTCAGCCCAGTATACGGTGGATTCGACCCAGCTCATCTCTAAACAATCACTTCGTTGTAATCCCAATTCGGGAAAGCTTGTGTTCATCAATTGCATAAGCCTATTAGTTTGCCCCAGAAAATGGCCGATAAATGAAACCCTAACTGTTTTATTGTTGCGGCCATTGTTAATGGGCTGAGGCTGGAGTCTAATATAAAGATCTTTTGGCAGTTTTGGTGCAACTTGTTGCCAACGATAAGCGAGTTCCGTTGCGCCTTGCTCCAATGTCCTTTGCACGGTGAATACTGTAACCCTAGGTGGAACACGAACCAGCTTGACCCTCCATGAAAGGATGATCCCAAAGCTGGTTGTTCCACCTCCTCTTATCGCCCAAAACACATCTTCTCCCATTGATTCACGGTTAAGGATCCTTCCATTGGCATCAATCAACTGTGCGTCGATGACATTATCGATGGAGAGCCCGTATTTTCTCATAAGAAACCCATAGCCACCTCCACTAAAGTGTCCACCAATACCAAGAGTGGTGCAAACACCAGATGGGAACCCATGGACATTGCTTTTCTCGGCTATTCTGTAATAAAGTTCACCGGTTGTGGCCCCCGCCTGAACCCACGCCGTCTCACTCGCCATATCAACATCAATAGACCGGAGATTGAACATGTCAAGAATGACAAATGGAACTTCGGAAGTGTAAGAAAGTCCCTCAAAATCATGGCCGCCACTCCGAATCCTTACTTGAAAACCATGACGTTTGGCGCAAACGACTGTGGCTTGAGCATGGGATGGATGCAGGGCGGTTATAATAGCAGCAGGTCTCGAGGTTGTAGACAAGAAGATTCGAAGGTTATTAGCACGTTGCTGGTAAATAGATTCGAAAGATGAATTGTTGGGCGTTAATATGGCATCTGCAATCGGAAAAGAATGGTCGGAATGTGTAGGAAGACATCGAAGAAAACTATTGAAATTAACTGAATCGTCAGATGTAACCAATGAAATTGATAACAAAACTAATATCCAAAAGGTGGAGATGGAAGCTTTCATTGTTTCAGAATAAGTGTAGGGATATTGGTGCATTGTTCTTATGGTTCAAAGGACTATTTATAGAGTGTGGGGGAGTGGCGGCCGGCTGTTTTCGGATAAACTCGACCTATCTCCATGTGACAAAAGTTCTACAAAGCACGGCTCTACACAATTTCAATAAGGAAACTATTTTTGTTTTGAAATTTCTTATATTTAATAAAAACTTTGTAATACCTTTTACACCAAGAAATATAAATTTATGATTTATTAATAACTAATTAGTTTAATATAATGAGATACTATATCTCTCAAGTACTGTCAATAGTTAGAATCATTATCTTTACAAATGGAACTAATTGAATTAGGAGGGTTACCCTCACATTTGTAATACTCGATCCAAATTAGTCCATTATTAAATCGGAAACCAATAAATGATTATATCATAAAAATTTGAATATATGATTTAATTTATGTGTTTTATATATTATTAATGAATCAAATCATTATACATTAATTGTTCATTAAATGAAATATATATATATATATATATATATTTCATTTGGACTAGTTCTTATTTTTAATTTTTAATTGTGTACGTTTATATATAAATTTACTTGAATTTAAGTTACCTAAAAATAGTATTTTTATTAATTGAAATTACTTCTTAAATTTATCCAAGATTTTAAGTTACTATTATATATTATCCTAGGTCATATTTTCCTTGGTTTCGTATCTCTTTAAATTAAGAATTTTAAGACATGTTGATTTTTTTTGTAAGACATGTTTATCTTTTCTATTTTTAAACGGTAAGTCATCAGATTTTCTTTTTCTGGATAAGACATGTTGATTTTGATGTTACTAGGAAATTGATTTTTTCTTGCAAAGTTTTTATTTTTATTTTTATATAATTAAAAACAATAATAATTGATTAAATATAATAAAATTGATATTCTTATTAATATAGTATATCAAAATAATGTAAAATAAACACGAATCAAAAGACTTCAGTAGTTAAGGGATTTATAGGTATCTCTTGAGGTCTCGAATTCGAACATTGCGTATGTCTGAGATATGAACATTCATTTCGAATGGTTGAGAGTCGTTAGATAGATATTATCTTATATTTATCTTAAATTTATCAAAAAAATAATATAAAATAAACTTTACTTGAATATTCATCATCAATCGATTTATAGATAACAAAATTATATAATCTAAATATTATACAATAATAATAAAATAATTAAAATTAGGGATTTTTTATTCATAAGTTACTATTACTATTTGGTGCATGTACCTTGGTTTCGTACGTCTTTATATTAAGAATTTTAAACATGTTGATTTTTCTTTTATCATTACAGACTTAGATATGTTGATTTTTCTTTTATTATTACAGACTTAGACATGTTGATTTTTCTCTTTTTGAAGAGTAAGTCGTGTTGATTTCTTTTGTTTTTAGTAAATTGATTATTATTCGCAATCTTTTTCCTTCTATTTATTTTTATATAATTAAAAATAATAATCATTGATTAAATTTAACTTAATTGATATCATTATAAGTAATCAGTAGTGCCAAAGATGAACCAGGCGTTTTCATTGTTCGTGGAAAATATACCTGAAAACCTACATTGGAAGGGATTATGACAGATATATGGGACGCATGGGGAGGTCGTAAATGAGTTCATAGCTAGCAAACGGAGTAGAAATGAGAAGAGATTCGGTTTTGTTAGATTCAAAACAAAGAACGATGCTGAAAGGGCCATTCAAAGACCAAATGGCCTTTGGATATACAGGAGTGGGATATGAGTATCAAAGGCAAGATTTGAAACGAGACGTTCTTACTGGAGAAGAAAACGTCCTGATGATAAGGAGAATATTTTTAACTTGGTGAAGATTAGGGCTGGCAATGGATCGGAGATGGGTCGGGTGGAGCTTCATCCGCCCCATCACCCGCGGTCCAAATCTCCATCCACACCATCCATCACCCGCTAGAAATTTCATCCATATCCGCTCCATCCATCATCCGCGGGTAGAGCGGGTGGAGCGGGTGATAAATGGATGATACTATGAACAAAACCTATTTTTACATCCTAAGTTCAAATTCTTCTAACATTCATATAAACCAAACATTGATACTCAAACATTCATAGAAACAAAAAAATGAGCAATAAATTTTCATCAAATTCAAACAAAAACAAAATGGAACACAGTTTATATAGTCTTGTGCACTATGTTTGTGATACATTTTTCAAGTAAATAGATGCATCATGTATAGTCTTGTACACCAAATATAATCTTCAAATCTTCATCAATAAATTATCACTTCTCAAAAGTCCTCTCCATCCTAGTATCAATAGGGATAAACCAATATTAAAAAATTAGACATATTTTCAATGGGATAAAAGTCAGAATTAAGAGAATAAGAATATTTATCGAGTTAGCATCTACATCAAGCACTACACTTGATGAACTTCCCTCGTATTTCACATCAAAATCCTCCAAGATAGTAGCACATGCATGTGCATTCTCAATAGAAGCTTCTAAAATCATATATCAAACAAGACATCCGAAAATTCAAAATTAGAATATTAAAATTCCTATGTATGATTCTAAATAATCACATTAACAGACTATTGTACATAATAAAGTAAAGGCCATGTATAATAAAGTAAAGTATATTTACTTGCCATGTATAATATATATATATATATATGGATGGATGGATATATTAATGGGTGGATGGATGCTGCGGGTGATGGATCGGGTGATGGGTCAAAAAAAATTCATCCATATCCGACCCGACCCATCACCCGATCCATCCATCACCCGCCAATCATCCATTTCATAGCGGGTTTTCGTCCGTTTATTCGGGGCGGGTGGGTGGATAATCCACTCATCCATGGATAATTGCCAACCCTAGTGAAGATTGCTGTTGAGTTCAAATTTTACGATAAAAAGTTGAATAGGATATGATTTATTAATTCTAATTTTTGTATAGTTTGAGGCTTCTTTGATTGAATATCACGTTTTATTTTATACTCTTGTAATAGTTTGCTCTTTTTCTTTAAATTGAGCATTCGATTTGTCCATACACACACAAAAAATGAATCTTTATAATTCTTTGTTTTGCCTCAATGACAAAATTTATCTGCTACAATCAATTAATTTTAATATTAATATGTTGAACTTTTTCCCTTTTTCTAAGAGTAGGACATGTTGATTTATATGTTAATTACTTAGTTTCAAAGAAATAACATGTAAATGATAAATAGATTGAAAAGATGATTTACTAGAGATTAATTTTATATTAAAGATAAAAATATATAAGTATATTTGGTTGGTTGGTTAAGATGTATATTTTTTTTCAATCATATTCTCTCCGTCATGGATTCAAGTCTTATTAGGAATACTCATTTTTTTTCTCTTAGAGGCATTTCTTTTCTTTCTAAGTAAGATTAAGTTTGGATATATAATTTATCAAAAAGATCAAATATGTAAATGTAAGGAGATACTGAAGAAAATTATTGAAATTAACCGAATCATAAAATATTGGCAACGAAGTTGATGACAAAACGATAATTGAAACAATGGGAACTGTGTAGATTGAAGCTTTCATTTCTCTGGGTAAATGGTAGTTGTGCATTCGAATAAATTAAATCTTTCTCGAAGTGGAAAAGTTTATAAAGCACGCCTCACAGATTATTACAAAAAAAAAATCAGATTTGTTTGATTATTTCAATGGCGGTATGCTCTGCTCATTCTTGAAGAAATTTTCAGGGTCTATCATGGCTTTCGCACCTGCAAGTCTCATGAAATTGTTCTTGAAATATTTGGCTCCGTATCCCTTCGCAACCTCCAAATCCGTCTCACCGCTTTCGTTGCTGCCGATGTCGAGATCCCGATAGTTGACTAACGCTGCCCTCGGGTTGCTCGATGCATATGGTGCCATTGTGCGGAAAAACCTCCTCGACAGATCAACGTAACGACCTTCTGCACTGATGCCTCCGTCGGACTCAGACCAGTGCACCGTGTATTGGGCCATGAAGAAGTTCCCGCCACGGTGTGCAAACGCAGTTTCCGACTCTGAAATCTCATCCATTCTCCCTCCGTAAGGGTTCATTATGACAATGACGTTCCCAATGTCCATCAGCACTTCCCACAACGTCTCCAACCCATGTTCAGGAATCACCGCTTTGTAGTAATCGGACTTGGTTTTGTACAACATTGTGTTCGCTGGTACGCTATTGAGCAACACATCAATGGAGGTTCCGTTGGCGAAACCAGCCCAATATACGGTGGATTTTACCCAACTCGTCTCCAAACAATCACTTCGTTGTAAACCCAATTCGGGAAGGTTTGCATTCATCAATCGTATAAGTCCCTCAGTTTGTCCTAGAAAATGACCAATGAATGAAACCCTAACGGTTTTATTGTTACCGCCATTGTTAATAGGCTCAAACTGTAGACTAATAAAGAGATCTTTGGGCAGTCTAGGAGCAACTTGTTGCCAACGAGAAACGAGGTCAGTTGCGCCTTGCTCCAATGTCCTTTGCACGGTGAATACTGTAACCCTAGGTGGAACGCGGACCAGCTTGACCCTCCATGAAAGGATGATCCCAAAGCTGGTTGTTCCACCTCCTCTTATCGCCCAAAACACATCTTCTCCCATTGATTCACGGGTAAGGATCCTACCATTGGCGTCGATCAACTGTGCGTCGATGACATTATCTATGGAGAGTCCATATTTTCTCATAAGGAACCCATAACCACCTCCACTAAAGTGTCCACCAATGCCAAGAGTGGTGCAAACACCAGATGGGAACCCATGGACATTGCTTTTCTCGGCTATTCTGTAATAAAGTTCACCGGTTGTGGCACCGGCCTGAACCCACGCCGTCTCACTCGCCATATCAATATCGATAGACCTGAGATTGAACATGTCAAGAATGACAAATGGAACTTCGGAAGTGTAAGAAAGTCCCTCGAGATCATGGCCGCCACTCCGAATCCTTACTTGAAAACCATGACGCTTGGCGCAAACGACGGTGGCTTGAGCATGGGATGGATGCAGCGCGGTTATAACGGCCGCAGGTCTCGAGGTTGTAGACAAGACTATTCGAATGTTATTAGCACGTTGCTGGTAAATAGATTCGAAAGATGAATTGTTGGGCGTTAATATAGCATCTGCAATCGGAAAAGAATGGTCGGAATGTGTAGGAAGACATTGAAGAAAACTATCGAAATCAACTGAATCGTCAGATGTGACCAATGAAATTGATAATAAAACTAATATCGAAAAGGTGGAGATTGAAGCTTTCATTGTTTCAGAATAAATGTAGGGATGTTAAGTAGTTGTTGGAGAATTGTTCTTATGGTTCAACGGAGTATTTATAGAGTGTGGGGGAGTGGCGGCCGGCTGTATTCGGATAAACTCGACCTATCTCCATGTGACAAAAGTTTTATAAAGCACAGCTCTACACTATTTCAATAAGGAAATTATTTTGTTTTAAATTTCTTAAATTTAATAAAAACTTAATCTTCATGTGATAAAAGTTTTATAAAGCAAGGCTCTACATGTTGAATTTTATGTTATTAGGTAATTAATATTTTCTTGCAATGTTTTTTTCTATAAATAGAAATAATAATTATTGATTAAATACAGTTTAATTGATGTTCTTCTCAATATAATATATCAAAACTATGTAAAATAAAATATACTTTTTTTATTAAACTCAAGTGATTATAAAGTAGTATCTATTCTAAATACTCCCAACTATTTGATAATGAACAATCAATCACTCTCCTGTAGTTGTTGGCGTTCGAACTCATGACCTCTAAGAATAACAACAATTCTTTTAACCACTGAGATAAGTTGGTTCGTGCTAAAATAAAATATATTTAAATATTCACCATCAATCGATTTATAGATAAAAAATTAAATAATCTAAATATTATCTAATAATAATAATTAAAATTAAGACTTTTTTATCTTAAGTGACTATTATTATTTGGTGTATGTATATTGGTTTTGTACCTCTTTATATTAAGAATTTTCAAACATTTTGATTTTTCTTTTATTATTGAAGTGTAAGACTTGGACATCGTTGATTTCTCTCTTTTGGAAGAGTAAGGCGTGTTGATTTCTTTTGTTATCAGTAAATTGATATTTATTTGCCCACTCTTTTATATTTTATTTATTTTTATATAATTAAAAATAATAATCATCGATTGAGTTTAACTTAATTGGTATCATTATGGGTACTCGGTATAACATATCAAAAGAGGCGAGATTAAACACCTTTAAACATCTATTATCACCAATGTAGTTTGCTCAAGTGGTAATCAGTTTATTATTGTATAAGTAGGTCTTAAGTTTGAGTCTTTGTGTATACAGAAAATCTCTGCTAGAAGATTCATCCACCAAACCTCTAACTGTAATATATATGATTTTCTTTTTCTAGATAAGACATGTTGAATTTTATGTTATTAAGTAATTGATTTTTATTTTTATTTCTTATATATTAAAAATAATAATTATTGATTAAATATATTTTAATTGATATTCTTGTTAATATATAATATCAAAATAATGTAAAATAAGCATGAATCAAAAGACTTCAGTAATTAAGTGATTTGTTGGTATCTATTGAGGTTTTGAATTCGAAAATTGCGTATGACATAAATATGAACGTTTATTGTTAAATGATTGAGAGTCGTTAGATAAATATTATCTTATATTTATCTTAAATTTATCAAAAAAATAATATAAAATAAAGTTTACTTGAATATTCATTATCAATCGATTTATAGATAACAAAATTAACGTGGAGTGCATCTGCTTATTTCATATGGGCGAAATGTAATTGATAAACTTTTAACAGTTTAGCAAGAAATAAGAAGAATATTTTTAACTTGGTGAAGATAGCTGTTGAGTTCAAATTTTACGATAAAAAGTTGAATAGGATATGATTTATTAATTCTAATTTTTGTATAGTTTGAGGATTACGTTTTATTTTATACTCTTGTAATAGCTTGCTCTTTTTCTTTAAATTGAACATTCGATTTGTCCATACACACACAGAAAATGAATCTACATAATTCTTTGTTTTGCCTCAATGTCAAAATTTGTCTGCTACAATCAATTCATTTTAATATTAATACGTTGATTTTTTTCCTTTTCTAAGAGTAGGATGTTGATTTATACGTTAATTACTAAGTTTCAAAGAATTAACATGTAAAAATGATAAATAGATTGAAAAGATGAATTATTGGGATTAATATGGTTTTGAAGATCGAAATATTTGACTATATTTGATTGGTTGGTTAAGATGTTTATTTTTTGTTCGATCATATTTTATTCCGTCGTGGATTCAAGTCTTATTATGAGCATTCATTTTTCTTCTACCAGAGTCGTTCTTTCTTTCCACTCTAATTAAGATTGAGATTGGATATATAATTTATCAAAAAGATCAAAATATGTAAATGTAAGGAGATACTAAGAAAATTATTGAAATTAAACGTCGTGGTGCATACGAATAAATTAAAGCTTTCTAGAAGTGAGAAAAGTGTATGAATTAAGCACGCCTCTCAGATTATTTCAAAAAAAAGAAATCATAATTGTTTGATTATTTCGATCAGCTGGTGGAATTGTCAACGGCGGTATGCTCCGCTCATTCTTGAAGAAATTCTCAGGGTCCACCATGGCTTTCACTCCTGCAAGTCTCATGTATATTAATTTAATGTAAATTAAACATTTTATATTTTATAATTTACTAGTAGGTGTAAATAAGTAACACAGCGCTACATACTATCGCTAAAATAATTATGTAAATTTTGGGACCAAAGTTAAAAAAAATTAAAAGGTTCAAATTGAATTTTTAATTTTTTTAGAAAATATCAAAATCGCCAACGTATTGGAGGGCTAACAAGGAATAATTCCATTTTGAGTAGTTCAAACTGCATTCCAGCTTTTGCTAAACGATACCCCATACATATTACTGCTTTGAACACTAGCCTCTTCAATTTATTTGGGTTGTTATTCCATCCCTCACTGAGATACAATCTTTGAATCACGCTAGTAATATCTCCGAATTTTAAGGATCAAAGTAAGAAAGTACTATAATTTGGGGACCAAATAAAGTATTAAGCCAAAAAATGGGTAGATCCAAGATATGGTATTGACTATATTATACTAAAATATGAAAAGTAAATTTTTTTTTGTAATAATATTAATTATCATTTGTAAAAATGAGTTTTGATTATTTTTCAATTGAATTGTATTCTGTTAACTGAAGATGCTAATTTAATGATTTTTTATGAAAATAACAATTAATAGTATTATTAATTTTAACTTTAAAAATATTATAAAATAAATTGAACCAAAATCTCTCTACTTAAAATGAAGAGATCAAATCTCGAATATTTTTTATATATTAATGGACTAAAACAATAACATAGTTATAAAATACGACAAATGCTACAAAAATACGTCCTTATTTATTATATATGGAATAACACGATGTGTTTAAATTACAACAAACAACAACAAACATTTAACTTCCAGAAATTATTTCGCTTATTGATGGTCGTCGTAGAAGACAACGCTTCAACGAGCTGGTCGCATTGGCAATGGCGGTATGCTTTGTTCGTTTTTGAAGAAATTCTCAGGGTCTATCTTAGTTTTCACTCTCGTCAGTCTCATGAAATTGTTCACGAAATATTTTGCCCCATATTCCTTGGCATCCTCGAAATCCGTCTCGTTGCTTTCGTTGCTACCGATGTCGAGGTCTCGGTAGTTGACGAATGCTTCTCTTGGGTTGCTCGACGCGTATGGTGCCATTGTTCGGTACAACCTCCTCGACAACTCGACGTATCGTGCAGCGGCGTCTATGGCTCCGTCTGACTCGGACCATGTCACTTCATATAGCACCATGAAAAGGTTTCCCCCGCGGTGCGCAAAAGCAGTTTCTGTGTCTGAAATCTCTTCCATTCTCCCGCCATAAGGGTTCATTTGGACGAAGATGTCTTCGATGTCCATCAATGCCTCCCATAACGTCTCCAACCCTTGTTTAGGAATCACTGCTTTGTAATAATCCGACTTTCCCTTGGAAAATGATCGGTTCACCTGCACTCTGTCCAGCAACACATCGATGTTGGTTCCATCGGGGAATTCAGCCCAGTATACGATGGATTCGACCCAACTCATCTCTAAACAATCACTTCGTTGTAATCCCAATTCGGAAAAGCTTGTGTTCATCAATTGCATAAGCCTATTAGTTTGTCCTAGAAAATGACCAATGAATGAAACCCTAACGGTTTTATTGTTACCGCCATTGTTAATAGGCTCAAACCGTAGACTAATAAAGAGATCTTTGGGCAGTCTAGGTGCAACTTGTTGCCAACGATAAGCGAGCTCCGTTGCGCCTTGCTCCAATGTCCTTTGCACGGTGAATACTGTAACCCTAGGTGGAACACGAACCAGCTTGACCCTCCATGAAAGGATGATCCCAAAGCTGGTTGTTCCACCTCCTCTTATCGCCCAAAACACATCTTCTCCCATTGATTCACGGTTAAGGATCCTACCATTGGCGTCGATCAACTGTACGTCGATGACATTATCGATGGAGAGCCCGTATTTTCTCATAAGGAACCCATAGCCACCTCCACTAAAGTGTCCACCAATGCCAAGAGTGGTGCAAATACCAGATGGGAACCCATGGACATTGCTTTTCTCGGCTATTCTGTAATAAAGTTCACCGGTTGTGGCCCCGGCCTGAACCCACGCCGTCTCACTCGCCATATCAACATCGATAGACTGGAGATTGAACATATCAAGAATGACAAATGGAACTTCGGAAGTGTAAGAAAGTCCCTCAAAATCATGGCCGCCACTCCGAATCCTTACTTGATAACCATGACGCTTGGCGCAAACGACGGTGGCTTGAGCATGGGATGGATGCAGGGCGGTTATAATGGCCGCAGGTCTCGAGGTTGTAGACAAGACTATTCGAAGGTTATTAGCACGTAGCTGGTATATAGTTTCGAAAGATGAATTGTTGGGCGTTAATATGGCATCTGTAATCGGAAAAGAATGATCGGAATGTGTAGGAAGACATCGAAGAAAACTATTGAAATCAACTGAATCGTCAGATGTAACCAATGAAATTGATAACAAAACTAATATCGAAAGGGTGGAGATGGAAGCTTTCATTGTTTCAGAATAAGTGTAGGGATATTGGTGCATTGTTCTTATGGTTCAACGGACTATTTATAGAGTGTGGGGGAGTGGCTGCCGGCTGTTTTCGGATAAACTCGACCTATCTCCATGTGACAAAAGTTCTACAAAGCACGGCTCTACCCAATTTCAATAAGTAAACTATTTATGTTTTGAAATTTCTTAAATTTAATAAAAAAATTAATACCTTTTACACCAAGAAATATAAATATATGATTTATTAATAGATAGTTAGTTTAGTAAAATGAGATACTACATCTCTTAAGTACGATCAATAGTTTGAATCCTTATCTTTACAAATGGAACAAATTGAATTAGGAGGGTCACATTCGCATTTGTAATAGTTGATCCAAATTAGTCCATTATTAAATCAAACACCAATAAATGATTATATCATAAAAAATATGAATATATGATTTAATTTATGTGTTTTATATATTATTAATAAATCAAATCATTATACATTAATTGTTCATTATATATATATATATATATATTCATTTGGACTAGTTTTTATTTTTAATTTTTAGTTGTACGTTATATATAAATGTAGATATCCATTTTCGTCCGGGATATTAAGGGTTTTATTTTTTTATAGTATATAACATATATAATAATTTCAAACGTTATTTTTGAAAGTGTATAGTATATGTTTTGAAAAAGTATTTTTGAAAACTTATAATATATAGTTTTTTTTAAATATTTTTGAAAACATATAATGTATAATTTTTAGAAATACTTTTGAAAACGTATAATATATAGTTTTTTAAAAATATTTTTGAAAACGTATAGTATATAGTTTTTAAAATATTTTTTCAAAACATATAGTATATAGTTTTTAATGGTTTTTATAGTTTTTAAAAATAAATATCATATACATATTATTTATATATATATTATTTTTATTTTATTTATTATATTGTTATTAATATTATTTTTCTTTTTTAGGGTCCAATAAGTCCAACAGCCAGCTAGGAGCCCAACCGGGGTCCAATAAATCTAATAGTCCAGCAGAGGTCCAACAAGGAGCCCATCCGGGTAAGCCTGACCCAGCCCAAGTCCAATCAAATTAGGGTTTTAACATCAGGGGAAGGCACTGTGCAAATGAAGATCGTTGGATCATGGAGAAGATCAACGACCAGGAAGCTAAGGTTTGTTAAACCCTAAGGTGTCATCTAGCTGTAGTCTAGTCTAGGTCATGGATATGCACCCAATCCAACGGCCAAGATCAAAGGGCCATTTAACAACCGGCCAAGATCTCCATCCACAACCATAACACCAAGAAACCATGAACAAAAAAATAACCCAAAAAATAGGGGATCGGGACTACACTATCTCGGTTTGTTCGAGAACAACCACCGTCGGTGGGGGTATAAATACCCCCACCAATCTGTCAAAAGACACGAGAAAAGTAATTCGAGCTATCAACGAAGAATAACAACACAAAAAGAGCACCCACAGAAGAAGACAACGATCGGAACAACCAAGCAACAATAGCAAGGAAAATGGAAACAACCCAAATATCACACAAAAAAAAACAAAGCTTGTTCGAACGTCCATCGCAAAGTCAAAACACAATGAGAGAAGATACTCGACTGCACGAAGGGAAGCACAACTGCAAGGATCCAAGGACACCAGAATACGAAAAGTCATTAGGTAAAAATCAAGGATTTAATCCTAGATCTATGCCATTTGGGGTTATTTTAAGGGGTCTTAGGTTCGGTTTCGGTATCGAAGAGTAGAGGGGAAGCTTTTAGGTGCAGTTTGGAATTTTTCTGGCCGTCGGCGCGACGGTTGGAAACAAAGGAGGTTCGCCGGAGTGTGGTCGGCCATGGGTCGTTGGTTTGTGTTGAGAAAATTTTGAGAGGGGGAGTGATTTTGAGGGAAATTAGAAAATGAGATGAAAGGGGGGTTTGTATATATATATATATATATCGAGGGTCATTTTGCAATTAGCAGAATTTTAAATTATGTCCGCCGTCCCTACTGTTTTGATATGTAAATCATTTTGGTCATTGGTTTCAATTTGGTTCAGGAATTTCAATTTTATTTAAATTTAATCCACTTTATTATTTCTTTGTTTACTTTAAATTAGTACTCTAATTTTTATTTTTCTCCTTGCAGCTTTCAATTAACTTCGATTTGATCATTAATTTCTTTAATATTTTTTATTTAATATTTTTTATTTTTCAATTTTATTTTCATTTCATTTTATTCTATTATTTAACATTAATTAGGTTTTTTAGGACAATTTTAATTGGTCAAAGGTAAGTAATTCAGATCGAACTTTTAAAATTTTAATTTAACTTTTAATTTTTGTAATTAAGACAACCAAAAATTAAATTAGTACCGAAAGGACAGTACAAGGGTGCTACTCATTCCTTGACTGTAACTGACTCCCAAACCCGACATATTTATGGTAAAACGCAGATCAAGTAAGATGATAAATTGAGGTGTCTGATCAACCTAATTTTAAAAAATGATCGGTGACTACTCCATCACCTTCGAAATTATGTCAGAACCTGATTCCGAGCCCACTAGAGGAACTCTTACGACAATTTGGTGACTTTGCTCGGGACAGGTAAGCGAGTCAGACTAAAATTAATTTCCGAGTATCTTTTTAAGCGAAAGTTGTAAGTTTGAATTTCAATTTAACTTTTCGATCCTTATTATTTACCTTTGATTATTATCTTTCAAATAAATAGTCGTACTGATGTTTTCTACTGATTTCAGATTTTCAAAAATTTATCTCAGGCTCTATATATGAGCTCCAAACCCTTTCGTAAGTGGGGGTGAAAGTTACACCTTCGTAGGAATTTATTCTCCGTATAGGCCTAGCAAGTAACCTTCGGGATTCATATACCTTATGTCTTCGTGGGAATTTATTCTTCGTACAGACATAAGGAAATATGTCTTCTCGAGTTTAACTCGGTTCACACAAGCTTGAATGGGCTTAGAACTTAGGGTCAGGAAAGCCCAAGGGGGCACCAGCAAGGAGAACTCGGGTATCATCTTTTAGAACCTAAACCGGGAGACTGCAAGGAATTAAAGCCCATCCAGAAAGTCCATTTCAAAACCTAGGATGTTTGAGTCATTTCCTGCTTTATTTTATGTTCAAAGTATGCGAACTAGAAATATATGTGGTTAGAAATTGTTCAAAGAATTACATGCGGGGTAGATATCATGTGGGGTATGACTTTTTATTTTCATTATTATTATTTTTTATTATTCTTATTATATTAACTTGTTTCCTTTTCATTTTTTGTTTTTCGTTTTTTATCATTTGCATCATTTAGAGAGGCGATTGATCCACAAAACGTGTTCGTTAAACAGAAAGAATTTGCGTTAATGGACAAAAGGGTTGTAATACAAGATGTGAAAAATGAAGAGGTCCGACTATGGTCAAAAAAGACTCAGAAGGAAAAGGAAAACAGTCTGCAAGGCAACTATGTGTCAGATCTGGTTGGTTATGATTCTATCAGCATTAAGCAGAACAATAGATGTTCAAGAATTATGGAGCATTTGGGATAGCTGGAAAAGCGACCAGAAACGAAAATTCTACCAGCGATATAGTGATATTGTGCATCTACTCTATGTCAAGATAGATGAACCCCTAATTCGAGCCTTAGTGCAATTCTAAAATTCAGGGTATAGTTGTTTTACATTCAATCAATAAGACATGGTGCCCACAATCAAAGAGTATAATACTTTACTACATTGTGAAGGAATCAGAATAGACTGGTTCTGCACCAAGTACATCAAAAGTAAGTCTTTCAAGAATGGGTTGACAAATGATGCAGGGGTAGATGAAAAATGAGTGACTGACCATATTCAACACAAAGGTAAAGGAGAAGGAATTTCTTGGACCCATATCAAGCAATTAATGAAGAATCATCCTGATGAATGAAAGGTGATTGATCTCTTCGCATTAGGTATCTACGGCTTAGTCATTTCCCAAAAACTTTGGGATATATCAAGGCAGTTGTGGTGGAATTGTTCGAACAACTATCAAAGTAAGTGAACCCTACACCAGCAATATTAGTTGAAACTTTTCGTTCACTCAACCATTGCAGAAATATTGGGGGAGGAAGATTCATAGGGTGCACACAGCTTCTTCAGGTCTGGATCCATAGTCATTTTTGGAAGACTGATGGGATTTCTTACCACCGATTCAGCACCACCTACTCTTCTTTGGGGGAATTCCTTACACTAAAGTGGAAAGAAGGCATCCCAAAAGAAAAATGGGTAAAGGTATTCATGCGCCTTCAATATAAGGACATTGTCTAGAGAGCCCCTTGGTTAACCTATAGTGATATCCTTTATCAATGTGGAGACTCATAAATCATAACGTTACCTGGATTATGGGGAGGAGTCGGATATTCTCCACTTTTGGCGCTTTGGCGGTATGGGGCACATGGAATATTTGGATCAGAATTTGCATACCATGAGGACAACTACAAGAAGAAGGTCAAAGATGTAGCTGAGTCATGGAAGAAAATATTATGTAGGGATGTTGTGGCTACTAAAGAAAAGCTCACTCCAAATTATTTGAAATAACGGAAGTTAAGAAAGAATGACACCATTCCTGTGCCAGATCATGAAGATACTCAGACCATAGAAGAGCATCTTAAATCAGTTCCCTCCGAATTGGAGATAGCAAAGAAAGAGTTTGAAGCTGAAAAGGAAGAGCTGAAACAAAGGCTAAGGGAACTTGAGGCTGAAAGATTCCAGTGGAAGTTATATGTTAATACTCAGAATGATCAGACAGACAAGTTAGAAAAAGAACATAAGAAAATTTGCTTTGAGCTGGAAGATTTGAGAAAGGGATATCAAGAGCAAGTCTAGAACAATTCCAATCTGAAAAGATCTTCTGAATACTGGAAAGGTTAAGCCAACATCCTGAAAAGAAAGTTCGAAAGACAATATGAAAAAGAGACACTGAAAGAACAGCTAAAGACTTCCAAATGACGTTTGTTAGAAAGCCAA